AGGAGAGACTGGAGAGGTCTGCTGCGCCATGTGGGTTGCTCCCTGGACAGCTGGGGATCGAACTCGTGCTAGCAGAGGCTGCGGATCGCTTCACAGGGCGGTGCTTAACTCCTTGCGCCACCAGGGAGGCCCTGGACATTTAGTATTTTCAAGTCTTCCATTTGAACTAAAAGCAGTATACATATTCTACTCGAAAAACTGAAGGAATTTAAAATTAATATTCTTAATCTTGATATTTTAAACAAAGGAAAGTGAAAATAAAATTCATTTCCTTATGGGTATAACATGCTTCCAAAGAATACCAAGAAACTAATAATTAGCATATCCTATTTTAAACCTTTCATATTTGAAATATTCAGTGTATTTTCTAAGGACAATTTAAAAGATTTTTTAAAAAAAGATAAAACATAAATTTATTTCTAATTTGAACTACATTTATCAAAGAATGCCACAGGCCACTTGATTGAGGCTCCTTAAATACAATCCTTAAATACAATCATTTAGAGCCCTGTCAGATTAGAAACATGCTTGAGTCCACAGGGGCTTCAATGTAAAAGTACTGGCATAGGTGGTCCACCCTCAGCTTCAGCCACAATGGCTTTCTTCATTCTTAAAACAAGCTCCTTCCTGCCTCAGAGCTTTTTATGGCTGTTATGACTCCCACTATAATATATTCTTCTTTCCCAGCATCTTTGCATACCTAACTCCTTTTCACTCAGCCCTCTGCCCTTATCACCTCCTTGGAGATACTTTCCTGAATCACTATGACTTTACCCCTACTTCATTTTCCCCCAATGTTAATGGCTCCACCTTTTAAATTGACCTTATTTATTTATTCATTATTCATCCCTCCTTTTGGTCACTCCTTCCTCTCACCTGACAGAAATAAACTTTGCCAGAAATTAACACCAGTAATACAGTACAATGCCCATCATAAACAGTTTCTCAATAAATTTTGAATGAAAGAAGAACAAATGCATTATGCTTGATGGTGATAGACTAAAAGCTTTCCCTCTAAGATCAGGATTAAGAAAAGATGCCCATTCTTGCCACTGGCATTCAACATTTACCCTTCAGCTCAGAATATTCCTTTTCTAAGAAATTATCCTAGAGATATTGTCAAACATCTGCAAAATGACATAAGTACAAGGTACTGACTTAAGCATTCTTTGATATATCAGGACACTAAAAACCCATATATTCATCTTTATGTGAGAGGTTAAATAAATTATGATCTATTCACTTAACAAAGTATGACACAGGGCATTCCCTGGTGGCGCAGGCGGTTGAGTGCAGCGCTATGAAGCTGTCCACAACCTCTGCAGCACGGGTTCGATCCTGGCTGGCCAGCGACAATCCCATATGTCGTGGCAGACCTCTCCTGTCTCACCCACTGCTCCCCTCAGCAGTGTATTTCAGTCCTTCTGCCTGTTCTACTCCCTGCTCTGTCTCTGGTGAATCCTCTCACCCTCCCGGGCATCTGGCCTGTACCCGGGTTCTTGTATGCATGAATAAATAAATATTTAAAAAAAAAAAGTATTACACAGCCATAGAAATTAATGAGGATGCTTTTTATGCTAAGTTTAAAAAAGAGCAAAATAATATGGAGAGTTTGCTGCCATACTTATAAAAAGAGAGGAGGGGGCTATCTACATATGTATTTGTTTGTATTAGCATAAAATACTGTGGAAGGACATATACAACTCAGATAACATTGTTGGTCTCCAAAAATGGGGAAATAGATACTTAAGGGGAAAAATCATTGTATGTGTGTGTCAGGAGAGACTATCAAGGTAAGTGTAGCCTTTTATAACTTTTGAGTTTTAAGCAATGTGAATGTATTTTCTATCAAAAAAAATAAGTAAAATAGGGGCCTCCCTGGTGGCGCAGCGGTTGAGCGCTGGGTTGCGAAGCTGCCCGCAGCCTCTGAGGCGCCGGCTCAATCCCCGGCTGCTCCCCGGCCACTGGAGGAGGGTCCCACATGGCGCGCAGACCTCTCCTGCCGCCCGCTGCTCCCCTCAGCAGTGTACTTCGGTCCTTCTGCCTGTTCTGCTCCCCGCTCTGGCTCTGGTGAATTCTCTCGCCCTCCTGCGCTTCTGACTGTACCCAGTGCTTAAATAAATAAATAAATAAATCTTTAAAAAAAAAAAAAGGGGGGGGGAGTTAACAAAAAAAAAACTGGATGAGAATGATCCTATCTTTAAAAAAAAAAAAAGTAAAATATAGATTTTTTTAAAAAATTTAAAAGAATGAATGAAGGACTGTTAGGGCTGTGGGAAGAATACTAGCCTAAGTGGGCAAACCTGAATTTACCAAAAACTTACCTGCCTCATCTCGTGACTGATCAGTCTCCCTCTCCATTTCCCCTAACCCAATGCATTTTTCAACCAAGCATGCAGATTTCAAAAAAGCAGGCTTAAACAATAGAACCAGCCCCTCCTAACCCTTAAACTGCGCTGTTGGGCGAGATTAATCTCTCTCTCCACCAGCAGCTGGGGTGAGTGGGTATGCCAAAGTGGGTTAGCCTAGTGTGTGCATTTGCTCTAAAGGACACAGTCATAGGAGTCGGAAATTTGGAGTTAGAAAGAGCCTTCAAGAGATCAATCCAATTCCACATATAGATGTGGAAAATAATGTCAGGGTGTCAGAGACTGAAAACTGACATGGTGAAGACTGAAACCCACCTTTTATAATTCCTAACCAGTCCTTTTCACTAACAACTTTTATAAGCCAAAAAACAGAAACTCAATTTCTTGGAAAAATCAGTTCACTCAGCATAAGCTTATCATTTTGTTACAGCAATAAAGGACTTGTCTCCCTGTCCCACCAGATAAACTCTCCCATTTCCTTTACTTACATTCTAGGCTCAACAAATTTTGATTTCTTACATTCCAAAGGAAAAAAGAAATTTCTTACATTTCTTCCTAGTGTCACTAGGAAGATAATACTGAATTGCTGACCACCAGGTGACAGCGAAAGCAAGCTGGTGTCAAGCAAAATGTCCAGACATTTATGTAACAAGGATGGACATGCTGACCCTTGCCCACTTGCCCTTCCTACTCCCTTGTAACTCTGGATAAATATCCCTGCATGGTGCCAAACACCAGGACAGTGAGTGGTCTTTTTTTTGGAAATTTTTTTTTATTTTATTTTATATAATTCTTACATCATTTTTCATTTATGCACAATGTATGCATTTTCATTTTGGTTCTATTTCCCAAACAATTCCCACCCCCCCTTATTTTGACCCTAAGCCCTCCTCTCCTCCCCCACCCAGTAGTATGTCTCTGGTCTACAGTTGCTGGTTGATTTTGATTTTTTCTTTATTGAGTGGTCTTTCAGACAGGAGTCTGATACCCTCCTCAATTTGTCAACAAATTAAACTGCTTTCCTTCTTCTTAAACTCATTTTCCTTTTATTGGCTAAGAGAAACCAAGACTGGCATTTGGTATCAAATTTACAGCTTTCTAGTATAAAGTTAAATGATTATGGGAAGGGGGAATCTCTAAATATTAAAACATGATTAAGTTCACAGATAATTCTTTCAAGTACCTAATTATAAAATTTCCTTATTTTATTGTTTAAAAGTATGCACAATAAATTATTCATTCGGAATAAAACCTCTCTCCCTGTTTTCATTTTACATTTCACATAGGCAATACTTTACTGGAAATGTGATGAGTTGGGTTTTTTTAATTGAGTTGTTCAGGAATTACCTAAATATCAAAAAATCATATAGAGAGACTAATTAGTAAGTCTGAAGTATTATTTGTGATGCTGCTTTTAATAATTCTGAGTACACATTATAGCATAGCGGTTATAGAGTCAGACCACGGTTGAAATCCTGATCACCGGTTACTAGCCCTATGATCTCCAGCAAGTTCAACCTCTTCCATCCTCATCTCCTTGGGATCCAACAGAGACAGTAACAGTAGTATCTACCTTACTGGGTTGCTGTGAGAGTTAGGGTTAATCATGTAAAGTGCTTAGAACGGTATGAGTATATAGTATGTGAGGGCAATAAGGCCCCTTAGCCCTTCCAGAATAATAAGTAACTTAAAGGAGTATGTTTGCAAACCCAAGGTACTTTCTAATGGGTCTTTCCAACTTAAACAGAATAAAACAAAGGAGAAAGTGATGTAAAATGTTTGGAGAGGCTAGCTTCTTATGTTGAGTGGGTTTCCTAAATTGGTTTAGGGCACCCAGCTTCTAGCCTCCTTCACTTCTTAACCACAGGGTACTCTAAATACTCAAGGTTTTTCTCCAAGACTCAGGGTTGGTGTGATTTGGGAGAGCAAGGCTCATGCAAATCCCACGACCAGCACAGAAAGGGCCCAAAATACACCAGCTTGAACAAACAGCACCTATGCAAGGCAGATTTCATTGCAGGGTTGGTGAGAACTTGCAAAGATTACTTTAATCATTGGTGGGCGATCCTAACCTACGACAGCTGGGTTCAGGCAGGTAGCGTTGCACCCAGGGAGGAACTCCCAATTTAACTTTCCCGCTTGCTTCTGTGCTCCCCACCTCTCACAGCTCCTCTCCAGGTCGCCGGCCTGGTCCCTCTCCAACCTCCCCCCAACACGACCACTCGGAGGAGTTTGCTCGGACCCTCCGGCCTACGGGCTCGCAGGGTCCCGCACTCAGCATTCCCAGAAACCCTTTCACTCCGACCTTTAGAAAGCGGAAGACACAAAGCCACCGCGAGAGGAGGAGGGGGCGGGGGACAGGGGGCGCCCTGGTGCCGGGCATGCGCAGAGGCCGCGGTGGGCTGAGGGCCTGGAAGGAGCGCGAAGCCGCCTCTCCAGAGCCCGCCTCAGGGAACTGACCCCGTCCTGGCGGCGCCCGCCCCGGCCGCCCGGCCTCCCCGGGCCTTCCCGGAGGCTGGCGGGCGGCGCGGGCCCTGGCGGCGCCCGCGCAGCAGAAAGGCCGCGGCCCGAGGGGGCGGAGCCGGGCGCGGCGGGGCGGCGGGGCGGCGGGCCGCGGGGGGCGCTGCGTACCTGGTAGCGGCCGGTGAGCAGCTGGCTCCGCGACGGCGTGCACAGCGGCTGCGTGTAGTAGTTGTCCAGGCGCACCCCGCCGGCCGCCAGCGCGTCCAGCCGCGGCGTCCGGATGTGCGAGCCGTGGAAGCCCACGTCGTTCCAGCCCAGGTCGTCCGCCAGCACGAAGACGAGGTGGGGCCGGCGCGCCCCGGCGCCCGAGCCCGGCGGCAGCGGCAGCAGCAGCAGCAGCAGCAGCGGCAGCGGCGGGGAGACGGCGGGGAGCAGCGGCCGCCGCGGGACGGGGCCTCGGGGCCAGCTCGCCGCGCCGCGCGGGCCCATCCTTCGCCACCCACGGTCCCCGCGCCTGTGGCGCCACCAGCCCCGGCACCTCTTATAGAATCAGGAACTGGGGCACCGGGGCCTGCCCCGCCCAGGCACGGGGCTTCACCCGCCGCGGGCCGACGGCTACAGCGGGCCGATGCCCGCGCCCCCGCCGCGTCCCCTCGGGCCGGGGCCGGGGCTGTGGGGGAGGAGCCAGCGGGGCCGAGCTCGCGGGGCCCGGGCCGCCCGGCTCGGTGGAAGCGCCCTCGCGCTTCCAGCACATTCCCGGGGTGAACTTTGCACTGTGGCATCCTGAAAAAGGAACACATTTGTTCTTTTTAGAATGACTCTTCACAGTTTACAAAGCATCTTCACATCCCAGATCTCTTTAGAGCTCACAACAACCCTGGCAGCTACGAATTATAATTAGTGCCCATGTTTTTTTTTTTTTTCCCCGAGAATAAACAAGCTGATAAATGATTGAACCTAACCCAAATCCAGTTCTGACTCCTGATCTTGAGCTATGGTATCTCGAAGGTCATAGAAGACTTGTGTCTAGCAAAAGCCCGGCCTCTGCAGATGGGTGACGATGAAAAGGCAGAGGTATAGATGAAATTATAGACTCACTTATAAAAATAGTGCACGCCTATGTAACCACTTCCTCCCCACCTAGCATACTTCTTTGAAGGTGAAGGTTTACTTGCAGGCTGCCCTGGAAGTCGTGGGGTGTTCTGTGGCCATTGAGTAGTTTATTAGTTTGTCCATATAGGAGCTGGCTCACCAACAATCAAATAGTGAATCATACTGTGTGGTATCTAATTTGTCTGAAATATATGTGAATGGGAGGGAAAATCCCACATACGTTGAATTGGGAGGTGAGCCTTATAACCTGTATGTTCCCATCATCCAAGACTTTCTGCTGACTCTTAGTCTGGAGAGAGATAATAACTGTGAATAGTTGTAAAGGGAAGATTAGAGAGAACATTCTTCAAGGTGATGTGGCGATTCCGTGGGAGGTATTTTACAACTCTAAAAGTTGTGGATACCTGATAGCAATTGAAAATAATTCTTGTTTATATACTGGCAAATGGTTTCTATTCACTGGAGTGACAACTCTCCCCACCACCACCAAGAAAAAACCAGTAGCACATTTGTTTAATATTCCTGATCTGTTTCTTGGATTGTCCTTTCAGCTGGTTTGAAACATTACCAGTTTCCTCATTAATGAGTTAAATAAATCCTTAACGTATATTCATTTTATATTTCTATGACTCATTTCATCCTTTTTTGAAAATTACTTAACACAAGAAATGTTTCCCACGCCTCCCTGGTGGCTTAGGGGCTAAGTCTCAGCTTTGTCACCTTCATGGCCCACCAAAACTGCCTGAGTTTGAACCTGGCCAGGGAGCTAACCCACATATGTCGCAGCAGACCTCTCCTGTCTCACCTGCTGCTCCCCTCAGCCGTGTATTTCAGTAAATCTGCCTGCTTTGCTCCCCAAGCCTTCTCTGGTGAATCCTCTCCCCTCCCCAACCCTCCCCAGCCCTCACCTCTGGCCTGGACCCTAGCTCTTCTATGCAAACACCCCCCCCCCCAAAAAAAAAAAACCTCACATCATTAAAGCTGAATGAAACAGAATGGTCCTTTCTTTCAAAAAAAAGAGAGAAGAAATGTTTCTCTCTTCCATAGCTATACTTTTTGCACACAAGATTATTATACATTCACTTTTTATTTCTAATGGAATCAATAAAACTTAACAAGAAAATGATTAAACCTTGCATTAAATTAAAAAGAATAATTTTTGAAGACTCTTATGTTAAGCCTTAAAATTTTCATTTAAAGACCCTGTAAAAGACTGCTCTGCTCCCTAACTGTTCAATACTACCATTCATGATAAAAATCAAATTGCCTAAACAGTGGTCATTGATCTGCAGGGACAATTTCTCCTTTAACTAACTGCTCCTGAAACCAGCTAGACTTCTCATGTCCTTCATTTTTCAAATAAAAGCTTCTGCTTATGGTGCTCTGGAAATATGCAAATAAAAAAAGTTGAGCCTATTTTTTATCTATTTATTGAATGCCTATAATATACAGGACAGGACAGTTACAATGAAATCTCTTGTTGAAGTTTATCTGATGCTGCTTAGTGATTAGACTCAGGTTGTGGGTTTGTGCAGAAATACCACAAAAGTAAGTATCCTTCTCCATGCTTCATAGTCACAGGAACATGATATTAATTTGCCCTATTATTTGATCATTTCATGAATGATCTCCTCTGTAAAGTTAATATTTTCCTTTATAACTAATAAGTATGTCATGGGAAGATACTTTGAGAATATGTACATATTCTGTTATTCTTAAAACTTGTGCTTACTAGTTTGGCAGCCACCAATGGCAGGCGTTTTGGATGTCTCAGTCTCTTCTATAAGGTAGTCCAGCCATTTCAGGCTCTAGCTGTTCTGGGTTACGAGCCTAAGATTCAAGCTGGTAGTCCTTGCTCTGTGCCCTCATCTCTGTAACTCTCTAGCAATGCACCCATGTTCCTGGGTGCCTACTCATGAACTCTCTTACCCAGTACAGTGCCACGTCTGATGTTGTGGGCAGGCATGTTTCCTGCCCCTTTTAGTCAGACTCCCACTTTCATATGACTTTAATATCAACGGGCCTAATTTCATTTAAAAAAAAAGTTTTGAGCATTTTATTGGAATTGTCTTAATCTTATAAATTCAGTTAGGGAGAATTGAAATCATGATATTAAATTCTTTTCTAAGAACAATGGATGTCTTCCATTTATTAAAGTCTATTTTTGTGTATTTGAGAAGGGTTTTCAAATGTTCCTCATATTGGTTTGTGCTTTTCTTGTTATGTATTTATTCCTAAGTAATTTTCTTCTCTCTTGCTGTCAACGTGAAATTTTCTCTACCATTGTATCTTTTAGCTCTCTATTATTTGAGAGCTATTGATTTCTGTATAATAATTTATGTTCTCCCAAGTACAGAATTATTTTTTTTTTTTGTTTGAGCTAGTGTCATCATTGATTTTTGGAGTGTTTTCCCAACACATAATTATATCAGTTAAAAGCATTTCAATCAGTTAGATGATGCAACTCACACATGGATATAAAAATTGTTTAGTTGGTAGGTGGGATGCTTGGAACTTATAGAAAAGTACTGCACATAATCACCTAGTTTGCTTTTTGACCCCACACAAAACCTGTATTAAACCCATAGTTAAAATTTCATCATTCCTAATATCAGTAAAAACAAAAAAAAAAAAAAAAAAACCAACAAACCAGTTTTCAATGGGAAAAAATACAGGAACATACTAGTTTACAAAAAGAAAATATAAGTGATTATTAAAAATGTGAATGGATGTCTGACCTCACTCAAAAGGAGAGTGATAACTCACCACTTTGGGTAGGGTATAAAGAAACAAGCCCTCTCATACATTAATCACAAGTAAAATTTGGCACAACCCATAAAGGGAGCAATTTTACATGTATGTCAAATACACATATATTTCAATCTCAAAGTTCCAAATGTAGGGATTTATTATCTTTCAGATGTACTCAATGTGAAGAATATCATGTATCAAGATTATCACTTTATCATCATTTTATTAGAAAGCAAGTAATAGATCCTGGCCAAATTAATTTTTGGATATTAAGGAATCATTTAAAAGGAGTGTTGGAGTATTTGCCAAAATACAACATTAGTTTTAAAGTTAAGCAAAGAACATTATGTTTGGTATACTTTCTTTTACTTGAAAATATATGTATACATATACACTCATGTTCACATATTAATAGAGAGATGTTTGCATGTTTATAGAGTATTTCAAGAAAGATACAGAAGAGATAATCACATGTCAACTGGTAGACCGGTTGACTGAAGGCCAGGATAGGAAAAATACTAACTTCTCACCATATATCCTTTGTATTTTCTAAATTTTGAACTCTGTGCCTATATTACCCATTTCTAATAATAATGTTTTATTAATGGTAATAATAATTTACATTTTTTCAGTGTTTTTTCTTTTTAAGATTTATTTATTTAGAGAAGCCCTGGGGTACAGGCCAGAGGTGCCGAAGTGGGTACAGGCCAGAGGTGCCGAAGTGGGTACAGGCCAGAGGTGCCAGAGGGTGAGAGAATTCAGAAGGATCGAAGTACACTGCTGAGGGGAACAGCAGGTGTGACAGGAGAGGTCTATCTCGCCATGTGGGTTTCTCCCTGGCCGGCCAGGAATCAAACCAGCGCTGCAGAGGCTGAAGACAGCTTCACAGCACTGCGCTTAACCCGCTGCACCACTGGGGAGGCCCACTAATTTACATTCTTTTAAAGTAAAAAGCATTACAAGTGAGAACAGTGTGAAAGTCAAATATTCCCCAGTGAACATGTTTGTAAAGCCTAAAGGTCAGGCACTAACAACACGCATAGAAGCTTATTACTGCCTCTTGATTTTAGTTTTTGCAGTGCTCTTGACCTTTGTCTGGTACTAACTGATGTTTGATAGTCAGAAGTTAGATCCCTTTATTTCAAAGATTTTTCTCAACATGTTTGTGGTTTAGTGACTTTGAACATGATAAATATTTCATACAAAGACTAAGTAATTTTAAACACTTTATTTCTAAATGTTTGACCATTGAGGGAAAGATAAGGACGGTAAGAGGTCTTTCTTCAGAGAGAAAACCTGAAGTTCAGTAAATGTGGTAAATTGTGGTTTACATTACTCATTGCTCTGTTACTGGCCTGAATAGTCCAGGAGGAGAATGTCTTGAAATTCAGAAAAAAATATCCAAGCTGTTTCTTTAGATATCAGCTATCATATTATTTTCATGATACATTTAGTTTTTGAAAGTGATCTTTGTTTCTACCACGTGTAAATGAGGGAGAGAAGGTCCCTAAAGACCTTTGTGGTCTGGACTTACAGAAGCATGAGATGAGTGTTTTAAGGTTTGTTTACCCTTCTATCCGCCACTGGTGACATGCCTAAATTATATGCATTAACCACCATCAGCGCTAATTACTATCAGT